GTTGGAATAAATACTTGAGCCTGCAAGTACAAGTTGAGTCTTCGAATACAGTGAAGGGTATTCGGCCTCATAAAATAGTATTAAAAATAAGTTATTATCCTTGTAATGACCAAACAAGGAATATAACTTTTCTAATAGCATGTGTATTTAAGAAATAGATAATATATATTTTTCAGACTTGGACTAACAGAATTTTTCTGCATTAGTTCAAATGCATCTATGAAACTGTCTGTAGTCTACATGATATCAAAGCGTTAAAAACTGTTTAGCAAGTTATTTTTATAACAATAATATTTATAAATACAAACTAACATATATTTGTAAAGAATGAACAAGTCCACCTTCACGATGATATGATAGAGAAAAACATAAGATTTTTACAAGAAAGACTTTCAAACGATTCATTATCTCTCTCTGTAGAGCTTTATCAAAACATTAATAAAATTCTCTTTAAAAAAATTAATATAGAAAGACCCTTTAGCCAGTCAGGTTATAAGTGATGATTTGATCATAGTAAGGAATTTGTCACCCAAATAGCATAAAAAATATATAGTAAGAATTATTTTGGTTTTGTTTTAGATAATAATTCTGAGAGATCAACATAAGCTTTCTCTTAATTAATTGATTAATTCCTTAACAGAAACTGGCATGCAAAATAAAAATTTTACTTCTGGTCTCAATTAAAGATAAATGTTGTGAGTTTGTATTAGACTTTACTAAAGAATATCCAGAAGATTTATGAGTAAAGCTTATACATGATGGAGAATGGAAAGAAACAGATAAAACCCTTATAGCTATTACAGAAAGCATTCTTAATGTATTGTGAGTAATTTCAAGATGGGTAATTTCTTATAAAATTAGTAAATTGATAACTATATGCTATTTTGATTCTCAAGAGCTAATGTTTGAATAAATTCAGCATTTGGACCAGAACTCATGAAATCACAAAGCAAAGAAATCTATATAATGGATATAATAACTCTTTCGATTCGAGCCTCATTAAAAGGGCTTTCATTTAGTAATTTGTATTTATTAGCATATAAGCTATTTTATTATAAGTGATATTCTACTTGACACTGTCAAACTCATGTTTTGAAATTAATTATAGTGCAGAGCAACAAAGCACTGCTAGTGTAAATAGAAAAGGAGAAAAATATGTTGGAAAATAACCAGATTTTATATACTTACAAAAATGGGCAAATAAGTTATTTGAGCTTGTATTTGGCGAATGCTCATGTTTATTATATAGTGATACTAAAAAAATAGATAATAAAATAAAATTATAGAAAGAAACAAATGATAGTATATTTTGGGTACGACAAAGGTGTAAACTGGAAAAAAACCAATTTGGAATGATATTATAGGGACCAAGATCTAGTTAAATATACAGTTAAATCTCTCTAAATTCATACCCTGAGGACTGGCTTCAAACTATACATTTAGGGAGGGTTGCATTTAGAAAATAACCAATAGAAATATATGATATGTGATACCTAAAAGCAGAATTAAAATTAAGTATCTTTAAAATGTAATCAAAAATTATACTAAGATGATATAAAAAAAAAAAGCTGCTATTTTATAGCCAAACAGGTTTATTACAAAATAGCAGCTTTTTTTTAGAAATACAATTACCTGTTATCAAGATATATCCATTTAAAAAAGTTGTATTTTCATATGATCAGCAGAAAATAGAACAGATACATGCTCTGTAATTATCCAATAAAATTTAATTTTAAATTTGATTGGCTAATAACTGATTATATTTTTAATTAACTTTTTTTTTTATTAGTTCGCATTATTAGCATTGTTGACGATTATGCAATAAAATGCAATCCAAAAAAAAAATTCTTTCAAGGATGAGAAATTAAGTACCACAAAAAGATGAACAAACAGTGCTGTGGTTGAACTACAAAACAGCACTGTAGTCAAACCTAAACAAATTAAATAATGCTTGAGCACAAAATGAAACAGCAGGACAAAACTTCACTTGAACTCTAAGCATTTAGTAATTGGTGGTTATTGGTATAGCAGTGTAGTCACTGAAAGTTGCTTGATGTTAAAATTCTTTGAATTCTGCTTTTGAAAAAAAAAGAAAAAAGAAAAAAAAAGAAAAAGAAAAAAAAAAGAAACAAGAAAGAAAAAAAAAAAATTACTTTAAAAAATACCCAAGAGAAAAAAGTATGCTAAACTTCATATGTATAATAACAGAAAGAAGAAAATAGCCCAAAAAAAATATAAGAATATGAATATGTTATATGAGGCAGATGATATTGAGTACAGTTTAAATGAATATAGTAATTAGAAGAAGAATGAAGTGATAGATGAGGAGCAAAATTCGGATGAATATAGTGATGAGGGGGAAATGAGATAGATAAAGAAGAAAGAACATGAATTCATTTACTTATGGTACTCCTCGTATGGAAAAAAAGGCCAGAAATAAAAAAAATAAAGGGCATCCCAAAATCAATCTACTATCACAAGTTCAGCATCTCTGGAATGCTTACTAGTGCTGCCAAAGAAACATCCAAAATTACCAGTTTCTTCAAACCTTCAACATCAATATCACCAATATATTTGGCATTACTGTTATAATCAGCATCCCCTATATATTCAACTTTGGCCAATCTGAATAGTGATGAGAATGAAGGTGAAAATAGTAATGATGGTAAATATGACGATAGTAGTAAAGAAGAACACTTTAAACTTGGTGATATAATTGCTCAGCTTCAGAAAAATCTCCTAAAAAATAAAAAGACATTTAGTGCTTTTGAGTACAATGAACGACAGGCAGTCTATAAATATTTCATAAGGCTTTATGATGGTCACGGAAAGTTAAAAGCAAGCAAAGCTATAGCATGTATAGTCTATTCAACCCAAACTTATACAAATATAAAAGGGTTTGCTTTCTTGATAATTTTTTTTTACACTATAAGTCATTTTCGCTTTCTTATCATGGTAAACATCAAAAATATAAATAGTTAGTTGACGATAAAGATGTAGCACTAAAATAGGCAATGGATATGTAAAGAATTAGGGTAAATGGCATTAGTCTATCCTGGTTTAAACAATACATTGATTCTGCCATATAACCTGAGTCACAGAGGAAACAAGAAAGTCAATTAGCCTGAAAACGGCTAAAAGATAGCTGCATGTTTTAGGTTGTCAATTTAAAAAATACCAAAAGAGTATGTACTTTGATAGACATGAATGAAGAGATGTTGTTGAATATTGGAGTAAGTTTTTAGAGGAAATAAAGATTCTAGAGCGACAAATGATGATATATGAAGAAACAAAAATAGAACTGGTTCCACCAATGCTTGGAGTAGAAGATCGAGAGCTGATCTTTATTACTCATAATGAGTGTATTTTTTATTTAAATAATAGAAAAAGAGAGATCTGGGTATGTAAGTGATGATATCATTGCGTAAGAAAGGCAATAGAAAATCGATTATAGTGAGTGAATTTATTTTGGAGGCATGTGGCAAGTTACAACTAAGTGAGAAAGAAAAAAAAGTATTTTAATGTTCCTGCAGAAGCACACTGTTATCTGAAACCTGGTAAAAATGAAGAGAATTACTTGACAATTGAATATTTATTAAAGCAAATCAAAGAAAAAGCCATCCCTATTTTTGAAGCAAAATTTCCTGGTGCAATAGCTGTCTTTGCTTTTGACAACAGTATGAATTATGTGGTATTTGCAGATGATGCTCTTATAGCAAAAAAAATGAACAAAGGACCCGAAAGAAAGCAAAATGTTATGCATTTAACAACCTTCATTAATATTAATAGCTGACAAAAAGAGCAGGAAATGGTATTTGAGAAGGACTTCTCTGATTCCAATATGAGAGAAAAACTAAAAAAAATAAAAAAGATATTAGAGGAAAGAGGACTTTGGAAAGAAGGATTAAATTTAGATTGTGAAAAGTATAAAAAAAAGGAGAATTCAGGTTGAATAGATTGCTGCTTAAGAAAAATTATAGCCTCTCAATCAGACTTTATTGCCCAAAAGTCTGCTATTGTGAAATTAATTGAAAATGCTAGTCATATCTGCATTTTTTATCTGAAGTTCGATTGTGAACTTAACTTTATTGAAATGTATTAGGGTGTAGCTAAAAGATATACGAGAGATCACTGCGATTACACATGGACTGGCTTGCAAGAAACTGTTCCACAAGCGCTCGATTTAGTAGACATTGTTACGATTAGAAAGTTTGCTTACAAATCAGGAAATATATGGAGTTATATTATAAAGAGTTAACAGGAAAGTTAGCAGAATATGCATGTAAAAAATTTAAATCCCATAGGAGAGTTTCTCAAAACAAATTGGATTTATTTGTGTAAGAAAATAGAGAAATAGATTGTGTTCAATAAATAAATTTAAATAAAATTGAATGTGATTAAAATAAATAAATATAATAAAATTAATATGTAAAGATGAAAAATATAAAAAGGATGCGGTGACCTAGTGAAGTGGTGGGGTTGCTGCACCTCCAAGTAGCAGGTCTAGAGTTTGAATCCCACAGACGATGATTTTAAAAATTAGACCTGTGATATGGTTAATGGTTATCAACGATCGGTTGGGCTTAGATATCTGTAATCTTGGTCACACTATCTCGAATGGGAGCTTTGGCGCAATAAATCCAGGGAACCGGAATAACTGAAAACCTGTTTGGCAAGTCCCGAGTTGGGAGTAGCAGTGATCTTTGATGATACTACAGGAAGGCTAGATTTAGAACCAGAGACTGAGACCAGAGAACCGAATGACCAGGTCCTTTAGTAGGGGGACATACCAGCTAAACCGCCAGAATGCCAACCGGAGGAAAAGGACATGTGCTCTGAAAACATGTACCAAGAGAAGGGTAACCGTGAGGCACTTAGAGCCTAGGCAGACCAACTCTTCTGGGTTGCCGGCTAGAAATAAGGGAAGGACCAGTAAAGAATCCAGAAAAGAAGAAGGTTCGAATATAGGTACTGGGGTTGTTGTGAACCTTGCAAGGGCAAGAGTAAGTAACAGGAAACTAAATTAGGAAGGTTGTAGCTTGAGATACGGACCAGGTTGTGGCAGCATCCAAAGATGGCTTGAGATACAAACCAGGTAATGGCAGCACAGCATGTACTAGTTAAGGGAAATGTTACCAAACATGCAAGTAAGTACATGTGTGGAACATGTACCATTCTGTTAGGTTTACTACAAGGATAAATGCCTCCCGTTCTGAAAGGAATAAGTGTTGGTTTGGCTAAAGTCTTAGAGTCTTTAATGGTAAATTACCTCAAAAGGGTATATTAGAAGGAAGCATGGGACAGAGATTGTACCAAAGAGTTTGAATAGATAGCTTCCTAGTTAGGCTATAGGTATGGCAGCTAGTATAGAACCTTCGGGTGGACTACTTAAATTAGATAACCAAAAGTTGTACGTGTGGCTAGTTGTACTCTTGTAATACCGATATAACATATAGTTAAGTCTTTGGACATATGGCCTAACCGCTTGTACTAATAAAGTGCCAAGGGCCTAAGTGGTCACCTTAATATCAAAAAAAAAAAAAAAGGATAAAAAATATAAGTAAATTTAAATAAAATTAATATGCAATTAAAGAAAATAAATAAGTTAAAATAAATTTAAACAAAATTTAATAGACAATTAAAAATATTAAAATTTAATATGCAATTAAAAATAAATTAATACTGAAGTTATAGAATCAGCTTTGTATTGTACTGTATAAAAATAAAACTGGTTCCAAAACTTTATTTCATGATAAAGTTTGGAACTAGTTTTATTTTCATATATTAAACCCAGTTTTAATCAGGTTTAA